AAAAAAAAAAAAAAAGTAGTTTCAAACTAGGAGCAGCCTAAAGGCTCCTCGTGCTCGCACCATCTTCTGTGCACCTGCCCTGCCAGTGCTTACTGACGCTGTCTCTGGGTCAGGTGTTCTGAGGCTACTGGGGATACACAAAGACCCTGTGTCCGAGGCAGCCCACACATGCTGACGGTGGGGGGTTGACCTTCACCCGCGGTCCCTTCTGTAACTAAGGACCGCAGTGTCGGCCACCTCAGGCATGGCTACTAAAGACCCGCACAGACGGCCACATAGCGTACACTCCAATTACAGGATCTGTCTGGAAGGCAGATCCCTGTGGACAGAAGGTAGATGGGTGGGTACCCGGGGGAGGGGGAAGAGGGGGTTGATGCTTACGGGGACTGGGTCGGTTTTTGGGGTGATGAAAATGTTCTGGAAATAGCAGTGACAGTTGCACAACCTTCTGAACATATGAAAAACCACTGAATTATATAAAGTGGTGAATTTTGTGGTATATGAATCATATATCCCATTTGAAAAGCAGAGTGGCAAAAATTTGTTTCTAGGCAGGAAGCTCCTGGGGAAGCCAAGTGTAGCTTTACCATACTCAGGGAGGACAGTGTTGGAGAGAAAGCTGTCAGCTTCTAGAACGCGACGGCAAGAGCTGTGTGTGTGGCAGGGAGAAGTCTTGGGGCTTTCTGCAGCAAGGAAAGTTCTGGGCAACCTTCGTGGCAGTGACTCCCCCTCTGGAGCCTCAGCTTCAGCAAAGGACGAGGGCTTGTCCCCAGAGCAGCCAGAATCAGGCCTAGACCAAGGTTCCAGCCCACGGGGAGGCTGGGCTAGGGGCTCCGTGCAGAGGTCGAGCCACCAGGCATTTCGAGCAACCCCCTGCAAGAGCATAAAGATGAAAGCCAGGGATAATTAACGCTCTCAGGCCTGGGTTGACTCCACAAAATCCTTTGTGGTGGCCTGAAAGAAAAAGCAAATAGATGCAAAACCCATCTCTGGTTTCTAGGATAGAAGGACCTTTGAAATTATAAGACATTAAAATAAAGCTTCGGGTAAAAGGACTGTCATGTTCTAGCTGCAGATTTGATGTGAGATCAAAACGGAATTGCTCTTCTTGAAAGCCCAGGCGCTGGCCTACTGTGCAAGGTGCGCCCCACCCCAGCGTGCAGAGAAGCGGCCCAGGACCCTTGTGGCTAATCTCACCTGAGGCTGCTGTCTCTCCTCGAAGGGCTGAGGGTCCCCCTCTGATCATCCTTCTCTGCTTTTTTGTCCTCTCCACTTTGTTTTTTTTGTTTTTTTTTTTTTTTGAGCCGGAGTCTCGCTCTGTCGCCCAGGCTGGAGTGCAGGGGCGCAATCTCGGCTCACTGCAAGCTCCGCCTCCCGGGTTCACGCCAT